GTTGGGACTTGGGAACACACTGTCAGAACACCATGTGAGGGCTTACACTGAGGAACAGCATGATTTGCAAAGTGTTGCCTGCTGAATGATTATGGGGCAAGACATGCTCACAGAGAACATGGATGAAAGGGATCAGTTTGCAGGCATGACTGGGAAGGGGTCTAGGAATGAACTGAAGATTGCTTCTACAAAGGGTATTTTATACTCTGGATTTGTTTCCCTTGGTCTGGATCTGTAGCTTTCAAATACTTAGAGACCTTGGTCTTAGAAGAGCAATGCTGACACCATCATCCAGAGTCAGTACACATTGCTGCCCTGTGTCCTTCCACAGTCCCTCAGAATGCTACTGAGTCAACTTTGGGGCTTGGCAAACTTTTCTCCTGAGGGGCTGTCCAGGGTTCATGTTCTATAGTGTAAGCACACAATTTGTTCCAGGTTCCCAGAAGTCTCATGAAGGCTGGCTGCTTGAGGGACTGAGATAAGGTATGTCATGGTGACTGGTGTCACCAGGTCTACCAGGCAAAATTTCAAGGGTCATCAGAGCTTCTAGAATTTTCTAACCCTTCTGAACACCAGCCACAGGCCATCCTGTATGTAATACCCAACCCGGAGTCACTCACTGGTATTGGTAATGCCCCATCCTGTCACCCAGCAGTTTTCCCATGCCAGTATGTTGGAGACTTGTGAAACGCAGATGGGTGCACTGTTGATACTCAAGTTTAATGGGGATTTGAGCAAGAGCAAAGCTATGTCGTTGTCCAAGAGCCAGCTATCAAACTTCGGGTGGAGGATTATCTTGTCCACTTCCTTATACACCAAGTCCTCCATTTTGTTGAGGTCGTCTCTGCCATGCATGATCTTCAGGTTAGATCTCATTTAAAATAAGAGTAGAAAAAAGATAAATGATAGAAGCAGAGAGGCGGGACCCCAGAGGGAAAAGTCATTCTGCCGATGGGGGCTAAAGGGATCAGAGCAGCAGGAGGCAGCTAGAGTCTCAGTACCTAGCCTGATGATCTTACTTGGACAGACCAGCATCTAGGAGTTTGGAGGACACCAAGGCATCCTCCTTGATTCTCAACAAAGTCTGGACTGATTATAGAGCCAGACTTTGGGAAGAGTCATGGGACTCCAGGACTTGGACACCAGCCCAGAGCGGGTGATATCTGCTCCAGGGCTGGAGCCCCACCCTCATACGCCAGTGCCTTCAATGCCCTTCCTGCTCTGTGCTCACTCACCATCCACGGTGTCTCCAACACAAGCAAATAGAGATATACTTTTTTTGTCTATTTAAGGTGTCTGTTTGTTTGTCTTTAAGACAAGGTCTCCTTTATGTAGCCTAGGCTGGCGCCTGACAAGTCATCTCCCAGGCTCATCTTCAGAGTACTCCGTGAAAGACATGTATTAGCATAACCAGTTTAGAGACATGTTTATTAGGTCAGATCATGCCCACGGGTACTGAGAAAGATGCAACGCCCGGGGCACACAATAAGATGTATGGAATCCTGGGAGGGGAACTGTTCACTTCCCAGAGGTCAGGTGGAATACTCAGCCACACAGGCCATTTTAGCACCTCATGGCGTCACATGGCTTGTTGAATGAAGTTCCAGGGTCATCAGCATCTGGACAAGCATTCAGCTATTCTGGTTAAGAAGGAAATGCTAAGTGAGGCCTGTTGGCACAGGCCTACGGGGCCAACTACTTGGGAAGCAGAGGCAGGAGAATTATTAAATTCAAGGCCTATTAGGGCTGCAGAATGAGTTTAGGGCCAGTGAGACTTTGCCTCAAAATAAAAAGTAAGAAGAAGGCTTGGACTGCATAGAACACTTGCCCAGCATGGGCCCCACATTCTATCTCTACTACCACCATCAACAACCACACACACAGACACACTACACACACACTACACACACACACACCACACATACATCACACACACACACACACACACACACACACCACACATACATCACACAATACACCACACACACACACACACACACACACACACACACACACACACACACACACGCGCACGCGCACACACACCACACACACACACACACACGCACACACGCACGCACGCGCACACACACATTTCTTAGAAGAGTACTTACATGTTGACTTTGTCGAAGCAGTGGGATGCCGTTAGAATCCACCACTCACTGAGAATAGAACCCCCACAGAAAGGTTTGCCAAGCTCCATAAGCTCCACATGCCATGGGAACTCTGAGATGTTCACAGACTGCCCTCCTATGATTTCAGAAACACTGTGGGGTTGTTCAGATCTGGCACTTACCCTCTGGCCACATGTTACTAAAAGGAACAAAGAGGGAGGAAAGTTCTAGCACCCAAAAGTCGAGACTGGGCATCTTTGAAGAAGCTTAACTACGACCCTGCTCTCCCCACTCAAACACAGGCAGCAGGCTCAGCAAAGGAACACTGGTAGGGGACCCACAGACTAGTCCAAGTCCACCCCATGTCTCTCAAGGGCTCGGCTACACAAGTGTGGAGGAGACTGGGTGCCACCTTCACGGTCATTTGCTTCTTGGAATGATTCTTTGAGGGCTGTGAGAAGAGAGACTCAAAACCGCATGGCCTGCAGCTGGATCTTGCTATTTCCCCTAAGTCTGTATAGTGGTATTCCTTTCTTTAAATTGTGTCTCACTGTCCCCCGAAATACCCCGTAGATCTCATGTCCCACTGTACACAGTGAATGTGCGTTTTCCTGAACCCTCCAGGAAGCTGGCATATGTTTAGTGGGGTGTATGTGGTGGAGATGGCAGTGTGCGTCAGAGCATTACGTGTGGTAGGATGGTGGCTCTGATGACATGTGGGAGTGGGATTGTGACTAGAGAAAGCTGGAGTAGAAATATTGCTATAATTTCCTCTAACAAGTGTGTGAATGCTACTGTATCAGGCCATCACCCGTGCTCCCAACTCAGCTCTGCTGGAGTTTGAGGCTCCGGAAGCTGGGGTCTGAAGCTAACCTGGGCTACAGGAGTATTGTGTGTGTGGGGGGGGATAAATTTACATTGCCTTTATTGCAGTATCGTTTTGTATTAGGTATTCTGCTCAGAATATCAGCAACACTTAACAAATGTTTGTAAACTCCTGACATCCACTTCTCTCATTGGTCAGAGGAAGAGAAGATGGTCCCTATTCCCGTCCTGGTTTTCCTATTGTGAATAAGGAACAAGCTCTCATGCCACTTTAGTTCCAAAAATCGCCCCAATTCTCCCCAGAAGAGAGTTTGACATCTTCTATGTGACAGGGTTGTTTGACATCTTTTACTGCCTTTCCAGTATTCTTTCTATTTTCTTCTCCTCTTCCAGCTCCCTGTCCTCCTTTCTTCTTCCGTTTCCTCCTCCTCTTCCTCCTCCTCAGTACTGTGTTTCCACCCCTGGTCCCAGTGCATGCTAGGCAAACACTACTGCTAAGCCCACCCATACCCTTCCAGTATTATTCCACTTAAGAGAGAAATGAATGCAATAAAGTCTACAGTATTGAGTACTGGCTGTTTGTAAAGCACTGTCCCGTTTGGTCTACCATTATTGCTGCCCTATTTTAAAGGAAGGAACCCGAGGCTGAACATCAGGCCAAAGGCCAACAGCTTCTCCCCAGCAGAGTTGAGTTGGGAGCACGGGTGATGGCCTAATGACAATGACATTCACACGCTTCTTAGAGGAAAGTATAGCAATATTTCTACTCCAGCTTTCTCTAGTCACAATCCCACCCCCACGTGTCATCGGGGCCACCATCCTACCACACGTAATGCTCAGAGCCACCATCCTACCACACGTAATGCTCAGAGCCACCATCCTACCACACGTAACGCTCTAACGCACTCTGCCATCTCTGCCACACACACCCTACTAGCATGCCTACCACCACAGACCGCTACCATATACCTACTACTCTACAGCCCTACCACACGATCACAACACACTCCATCCACACGGTCTCACTGCACACCCCATCCCCATACAGGCCATCGCCAGAGAGCTCTGTCACCAAAGAACTATACCACCACAGGAGCCCACCAACATATACCCCACTACCAAGAACTCGGACTTTACCACAGGACTTTACCATACCTCCCTGCCACGCAGTCCCATCACCAACACCACAAACCATCGCCACACACCCACCGTTCATCACCACAACACTAGTGACTCCACCTCACATCGCCACCCCCACTACCGGCCGCTGCTTTCTCTTTCCATGTCTTTCCCAATACCCCAGACCTTCTTTCAATTCCCTGGAAGTGACCTGCAGCCTCTGACCTCAGGGTCCTTCCCCTGCCTCTCCTCTGATCTGTGCCTCTGTCTATCCTGGATGTCTTCATAAAGATGTGGTAGTATAGTTCTTTGGTGACAGAGCTCTTTGGCGATGGCCTGGGCTCAATCATATAGCAAGTTTTGCTGAGCTGGGCAAAACTGAGGCAGGAGAAACTGGAGTTTGAGGTTAACCTGGGCTGTGGGAGTGTTGTATGTGAGGTGTAAATTTATGTTGCCTTTATTGCAGTATCATTTTTGTAGTAAGTGTTAATGCTGGAAACCGTTATAAAATGTTTGTAAACTCTTGACAACTGCTTTTCTCATTAGAGTCTAATCCCCATAAGGGCAGGAGCCATATGTGACTAATTCTTAGGGCCACACCACCTAGGCAAAGAGGCTAGTATTATGCAAGAACCCAACACATAGTAATGGAATAAATGATGTACTGGCAGGAGAGTGATATAAGCTGGATGGCTGACTAGATGGAGTAGGTAGATGTGTGGGGAGGTAGTTGACTGGATGGGTGTATAAATGACTGGATAATTATGAACAATCTCAGTATCAGTGATAAAATTCCTTGAACCACCAGTGGCCTGAACAGGTAGTTGGGGATTGAGGAGCCTTTGCTCAAGGCATTAACCCTTTCAGTCCCCCAAATCAGGAAGCCAGAGTAGAGGGTAACTTGGTGATCAACAGAAGTGTCATCTGGTTTCCAGGAGAGTGGGTGGTCTGTAGAAGTGTTGTTGCATTTAAAGATGTGAAGAGTAAATCCAGGAATCCCTGCCTCATCTGCCTTGCTCATGTCAAGGAGGCACGTTGACTCTTCCGGGGAGGAGCCAGCAGACTAGAAAGCACCTACAATCTAATCTCAGATGGAGACACCTGGTATTCTGGCAAGGGAACCTTAGAATTCCTACACAGTCAAAATGGCATGTTGGTCAGGAGTGGGGGAAATTAACCCTTACTTAAAAGGACTATTTGTGAATATGTATGCAAAATGTCATAACTGGAAGTCAGGTTGGGTCCATAAGGTAACTCAATTCAGTCTTATCTTTTTGAAATATAGTGACATCTGCCTCTTCTTGAGCATCTTTGCCGAGCCAGCTAGTGTATTACATGTGTAAGCAAGAGATTCTTAATAACCTCAACAAGCCCCCTCCATGGTGTGTCTGCAGCCCCTCTTTACAGGCAAAAAAAGAAGCTGATCACTCAAGCTCACACAAAAGTAGGCTGCAGAAACAGACTTTCAGCTAAGTGTGACTATGTCTAAACCCAGCTGCTCCCTCGCTTCTTGCTCAAGGCTTAAAAATTCCACACACTGCCCAACCCGCCCGATCTTCAAAAGCCTTATTGGGACCAGTAGCATGTGATTTCAATGATTGCTTACTGGGGTGAACCTGAGACATCCTAGTCTATTGCTTGTCGGGACCCTGTCCACCCTGTTGAAGACTGATGAGGGAGGAAGGCTTCCCTGGAGAGCTGGGTCTGATGAGTAGGTAGTGACTATTGCTACCTTCTGGGCAATCAAGTCTGATGGTGCATCTAAGCTGAGCAGAAGTGCCAGCAGTTTCTGCTGACAGTTGGGCAGTGCTGGGTTGTTGGTAGGATTCTGAGTCCCACAGCCCTGAGAAATGTCTCTCAAAGGCAAATGGAAAGGTCATCTGGTCCTGGGATGGGGTTACATAGCCATGAAGCAGCAGAATTAATGGTAGTACACATGGCACTGTGGATGAACCCCATCTTGTCAGATTTAAACCCTGGGATTGACCTATTAGTGTCACTGTCAAGAACAGACCGGCCTGGGGAGATTGCTCAGTTGGCAAAGTGCTTGTCATGCAAGCACGAAGACCAGAGTTTGATCCCCCAGAACCCATGTGGTGCCCTTACTGGGGAGATGAAGACAGACAGATCTCTGGGACTTTCTGGCTAGCCAGAATAGAGGAACCAGGAACTCCAAGTTCAGCGTTTTGACAAAGGTTGGCATATCAGGGCCCTGTGGGTCTCTTTTCTCTGCACCAAGCAGTCTTTCCCTTCACTCTAACCCATTTATACTGCCCTGTCTGCCTTTGCTCCTTCCCTGTGCAGGGACTGTGCTTCCCCGTGCTTGCAAATATGCTTCTCCACCAGCAAAATCAAGAGTACTGACTCCAGAAAGACCCTGGCTGACTAGCTGATTTCATCATCGGCTCCTCCCAGAGTTTTCACAGTGCTAATCTGTTTTGTCTGTTTCATACCATTGTACAAGAACACAACCAACAAGGTTTACTCAAGGATTTTGTTGTTGTCATATTGGGGGTGGGTAAGCATTCTTCCTGTGAGCAAATATTCCCTAGCCCTCTTTTCATTTTTTATATTGGAAACAGGGTCTCATTAAGTTGTCCAGGCTAGCCCTGAACTCACTTTTGTAGCCTAAGCTAGACTTGAACCTGAGATCCTCTTCACTCATCCTCCTTGGTAGGTGGATTAAAGGTCTGAACCAACGGTCCAGCTTCTGGGTTTATGTTTAAGGCATCATCCCCACCACCAGACAGGCCAAAAACCCTGAGGGAAAAAATCTATGTCCTTCTCTGCTGTAAACACAGTTTCTAAAACAGCACACCTTGGGCAGGGGTTTGAAATTTGTTGACCAACCCATTGACCACAACTGCATATATTCTCTGCACTCAAACAGGAGCCCATCACTGGGGACACTGATGTCCCACCTTGCTTAAGTGCTGTAACATGGTGGCTTTACAATAGACCCTTCAGAAGGTTTTCAGCATGGTGGCAGAAGGAAAGGATTCAAGAAAGATCTTTGGGGACTTAAGCCTTCCTGATGTGACCAGTAGGCATCACTGCCCCCAACAGCTGGCTACCTTTTCTGAAGTATGTACTGGAGTGTCCACTAACCCAAGAAACTCTAGTACTTACATAGATAGCAAATCATGTGTGCATTCGTACACACACACACACACACACACACACACACACACACACACGCAGAGAGAGACAGAGAGACAGAGAAAGAGAGCCCAAGCTCTCCCCACAAGCATCTTTAAAGGGTAGGTGTTATAAGAATCTCAACAATCATTTGTCAGGGACCAGCTACCTCAGTTTCCTAAATCCTGCCCCTCTAACTTCTGAATCAGCACCCCAGAGAACCTGCCTTTGGAACTAGCTTCTGAATGATTCTACCACCCCTTAGGGACTGAGCCACAGGCTCCCCAGAGACCTACATGCCAGTGAGCTATGTGCCCAGGGCAGCAGGAAGGCCAATGGCAGCAACAGGCCTGTTCTTCCATCCCGCCATCTTTTCATCAGCTTGCCTGCACAACAGCACCATTAACTTCAGCTGAGGCAAGGGGATGGAGGGTGGGGCCTAGATGGCCACTGAGATCATAATAGGCCTGAGTAGGCCATCCTAGCCAGAGTCCTCCAGGCAAAGGAGGATGGGGAGGGTGCGATGATGAGGGTGATGGAAGGTGGAGTAGGGGAACTCCATAAACAGTGGTGTTCCCAGAGACTGGTTTATGGATGCCCCAGAGAACACAATGGCTGAAGGCACAACCTGTGTCAATGAGAAGGAAGCTAAGGTATGTGGTTACAAAAAACCAGACGACACACCAGAGATGCGAATGCACACTCCATGGGTGTAGCTCATGTCACCAGCAGGAGTCACTTAACTTGGATGCCCATGTCTATCTGAAAATGGATGATGACACATCTCTGTGGTACCAAGAGGGCTAGTACACTTAGACAGTGGTTCTCAGCTTTCCTAATGTTGTGACCCTTTAATACAGTTCCTCATGTTGTGGTGATCCCAATTATAAAATTATTTTTTTTTGATTTGGTAATGATTTTTTTATTAGTTCAAGTTAGGGAACAAGCTTGTTTCACATGTAAGTCCCTTCTCCCTCTCCGTCCCCTCACCCCAATCTCTCCTCCCCAACCCCTAACCTACCCCCCACCCATCCACCCACCACTCCCCACGCAGGGTAGGGACCTCCAATGGGGCTCCCCAAAGTCCACCACATCATCCTGGGCCAGGCCTGGGCCCTCTCCCATGTGTCCAGGCCGAGAGAGCATCCCTTCATTGGGATGGGCTCTCAAAGTCCCTTCTTACACCAGGAAAAAGTACTGATCCACTACCAGGGGCCCCATAGGGTACCGAGGCCTCCTCATTGACATCCACGTTCAGGGGTCTGGGTCATTCCCCTGCTGGCTCCCAGACAGCAGTCTGGGGTCCATGTGTTCCAGAAGGGCTTTTAAGTTATCCTCTCCACATTGCCTGGATTGTCAGATCGTGTCATCCTTGTAGGTCTCTGGAGATCTCCCTGTTTCCAAATCTCTTCTTGGACCTATAGCGGCTCCCTCTGATATGGTATCTCTCATCCTGCTCTCTCTCCTCTATTCTTCCCCCAACTCAATATTTAAATGACACACATAAACACCTCTGATGATAGAATCTTTCTATAGTTAGAAGACTAGCACCTTTATGGACATGACTGGTCTTAGAGTTAGGTAGGTTCACAAAGAAAGATTTGCCTTGCAAGAGACAGGAACACAAAGGGGGGCCCTAGAGTCCTTCATGTTTCCTAGTTTCTTTGGTGAAGAGGATTATAGGCTGGTAATCCTTTGCTCTATGTCTAAAATTCATATATGAGTGAGTACATACCATGTTTGTCTTTTTGTGACTGGGTTACCTCACTCAGGATGGTTTCTTCTAGTTCCATCCATTTGCCTGCGAATTTCAAGATTCCATTGCTTTATTCTGCTGAGTAGTACTCCATTGTATAAATGTACAAAATTATTTTCATTGCTACCTCATAACTGTAATTTTACCACTGTTACGAACCATAGTGTAAACATCTGTGTTTTCCAATGGTCTCAGGTGACCCCTTGTGAAAGAAAGGGTGGTTCAACCTCAAAGGAGTCACAACCTATAGGTTGAGAACCACTGCACTGAGACCTGTATCCCAGCACAGGACCTGATGGAATCCCTCTGGATCACTGCTACTATCTCCTTGCAAAGAGAGTGCCTTGACCAGCAAGTCCTCTCATCAGAAAGCTCTGCTGGTACAGCCTGGGGCTATGGGGGCACACCTTTTTGGGGTGCTGGGGCAGATCCTGCCTTACTCACTTCTCATTTGTGTTGTATTCTAGCCCTGTTGAGCATTTCCACATACCAGTCCTGGAGGATGAAGCCAGGGGAACGGTGGGTATTTCCTGAGCTGTGGGAACTTCTATGCTGGGGTTAGGGGGACGCACAGACCAAAGAGAGTGCTTTAGCACCATGGGGTAAGGGTGTGTGCACTGTGCTAGGTGCCTGAAGTAAGGGTGTCACTGGAGGACAGAGCAGAGTCACAGTGGAAGGGGCCATGAGGCAGAGTTCTCAGAGGAAAAAGCAGAGGCAAACAGTGGCCTGGAGAAAGAGCAGGAAGAATTTTCTATACGTTGAATTATGGCCTCCAAAATCTCCGTGACTGGGCTGGGGAGACAGCTGAGTTCATAAAGTGCTTTAAAGAACAAGGATGAATTTGATCACCAACTCACATAAAAATAAAAACCATGCAAGTACCCTTATAATCTCAGTGGAGCGGGGGAAGAGCAGAGACAGGCAGATCCCTCAGGACTTTCTAGCTAGTAAGCCTAGTCTACTTGGTGAGTTCTAGACCAATGACAAACTGTTTCAAAATGGATGGATGCATCCATCTCAGAAGCGACACCCAAGGTCATCATCTGGCTGCCACACACGTGTGTGCCTCCTTCCCAACACATGTTTTTGCGCATACACACACACACACACACACACACACACACACACATTCTATCTCTCCTCTCTTCTCTCTCTCTCTCTCTCTCTCTCTCTCTCTCTCTCGTTCAAGGCACAGAACTCAGAAGGTAGAACTCCTTGGGAAATAGTTCACAGCAGATGAGATTCCTCCATCATGACTTGACATCCCTTAGACACACAGTGAGAACGCCATGTGAAGAACACAGGTGTGCTGTCAGGATCGGGTGACCACCAGGAGCTAGAGAGGAGCCACAGAAGAGTCTTCTCTGGCACAGTCTGGGGTGGTGTGCGAATTCATGCTGGCACTGTGAGTTTGGATCTCTTCTCCCAGGACTCTCGGCAACACTTGCTGGTATTCTAGGCTACCCACCCATTTGTGGGACCCAGGCTCAGCAGTCCAGGGAAGTGAACACAGTGTTTCAGGTGGGGAAACCTAAATTGAGGTGTAGGAAGTATGAAAACTACAGAACTACCATCTTGGTAGCTTGAAAACAACAGACTGTTGCAATTCTGCTTAACTAAAGTATTGTCAGACCAATCATGTGGGGCCTATTGACTGAGTAAAGGTCAGAACTGAATAAACAGTCTCCCCAGCTCTGTGGTCACCAAATGATTCCCAAAAGAAAGCCCACAAGGTGACAAATGTGTAAACAGCCATCACTACTGAGGTTTGACTAGGAATTGCAAGTGTAAACAGTTTCCAAGTTTTTCTTTCTTTTTTCCTTCTGTCCTTCCTTCCTTCCCTTCTTTTCAAGACAGGGTTTCTCTGTGTAGTCCTGGCTGTCCTGGAACTCGCTCTGTAGACCAGGCTGGCCTTGAACTCAGAGATCTGCCTGCCTCTGCCTCTGGAGTGCTGGGAAGAAAGGCATGTGCTACCACTGCCCGGCTCCAAGATGTTTTGAGGCTTTAAAATTTCTCAAACCTCTTGCAAGTGGGCTAGCTCAGCAGAGAAAGGAATTTGTGGCCAAGCCTGATGACCTATGTTCAATCCCTGGAACCAACAAAGTTATGGGAGAGAACCAACTCCACGAGTTACCCTCTGACCTCTACACGAACTCTGTGGCACACGGGTACACACACACAGACATACACACACACACACACACACACCCTAAATAAACAAATGCAAATCTGTTTAAATTATTTGAAATGTCTCATCAGAACAACTGAAAGCCTTATGAAATGTTAAACAGTTCATTATTGGATGTGATATTTGTCATACAGAGAATGTCTAACACTGCCAATGGCTATAAGCTGAGTTTTGGAATTCATCCAGTTAGCTCCTACCTTTTCACTGCCAGGTGGGGACCAGAAATGATGGGACAATCTCCTCCCGGGTTTCTTAGTAACAGAACCTTGTGGCTCTCACTGTTTACAAACAATGGGGCCCTGGGGGCATGATGGGGTAGGGGGGTTGGGAGAGGTGGGGGCCACATGTGCATGTGAGATGGAGTAAGCCATGCATAGAAATTTCCCAGAAATTCCCATACGTGCCACCCAGCTTTTCTGTGCGTAGCTTGCAAGAGAACACATATGCACTATCTGCATTTATACCCCAAACAACCTCCAAGCATTCACAGCATTCACATGTTAATCAAAACTCATGGGCTAGGCCTGGTGGCACAGATCTGTAATCCCAGGCAAGAAGATCATAAGTTCAAAGCCAGTCTGGACTACAAAATGAGTTCAAGGCCAGCTTGAGTAACTTAGATCTTATTTCAAATTAGAAAAAAGAGAAGGACAGCTGATGATGAGGCTTAGTGTCCAGTGCTGGCCTAGCGTATGTGAGGTTCTAGGTTCAATACTCTGTTCTGTGAAAAGAAAGGGAAGAAGAAAATGAAAGAAAGAAAATACATGTCCACACCAAAAACAATTCCTAGCATGTGTAGTGGCTTTATCTGCAACTACTAAACCGTAGTAACAACCTACAAGCCCATGCTTTGGGAACTGGTTACACAAAGTGGCACACCTGCAGAGCAGTAAGACCACTCAGTAATGAAATGAAGCCATTACCGAACCAGCCAGAACTCCAAACACAAGTGCATTAGGCAAGTGATAAAGTCAGACACAAATAGCTTCTTGCCATATGTTTGTAATAGTATGACATTCTACAAAGACAAAACCACAGGCATAGAGAAAACACCTGCCATCGCCAGGGGCTGGAGCTCAAGTAGAGGATGGACTTGGAAGAAGAGTTAAGTTTGACATCTTACTTCGAGGTCATATGTATGACTTTCCATTCACAGAGCCTTACACTTGCTCCATAGAAGTGACAATGCAAAAGCCAGACTTTTAAAATACCACTGCACTATGTACACAAACAGATCCGCTGATGTAAGCAACGGGAGTGGTGGGTGTCCTGCTGTGGTTTGAATGTAAAATGCCCCCTATAGGCTCCTGTGTGTGAATGCCATGGCTGCTGCTACTGTTTTGTTAGGTAGGATGGAATCTTTTGAACCTTGGTTGGGCCTGTCTCATTGACATAACCTCCTAGGGGTGGGGCGTGATGGTTATAGCTGGCCTG